TGTTGTTATGTTTCGTAGTTTATGATATTTCAAAATCAATTATCTTTACCACTACATCATTTATCAATAAATGTTCCTATGGAGAAGTAGCCCTGGCCTTAAAACAAGTCTGTTCTCTTGCATAATAATGTTCAATCCACCCTCCCCTCTGGAGACTGGTTCAGAGACATGCACAAGATACCAGCTGGGCATTCCATTGATTTTTTCTAGCACTTTTTTTTTTTCTCACTGTTACTAGGAGAGACCCTGTTTCTATTTGATTAAAAGGAACACAGGCATCCATCGTTCCAGCCCTGTGCAGAAGTCAGCTGAGAAAATTAAGTTGTTGGAGTCTCTGGCTTTGGCCATCCCTGGGGTCAGCTCCTACCACTGTTTTCATGTACTTTGCTCATAAAAGCCAGTTAGCTCGATTTTGCCCAGGTGGTTCAAATTGTGTTTCTGTCATTTGTAACCAAAGGAATCCTAATGGATGGATCCCGCAGAACATGAAATTTCCAACTTTCTGTTGGAATGTTTGTACTTTCCAGGGTACTCACTAAAGTAATGTAATGAATCACTTTCTTTTTACTTGTAGAGTAGGGGTTACAATCTAGATGTCGAAAGGGAAGAGACAGGCAAATTGTTTTCTTCTTTTTTTTTTTTTGAGACAGAGTCTTGCCCTGTCTCCAGGCGCCGAGCTGGAGTGCAGTGGCGCGATCTTGGCTCACTGCAACCTCCGCCTCCCGGGTTCAAGCAATTCTCCTTCAGCCTCCCGAGTAGCTGTGGCTACAGAGCAAATTATTTTCTTGAGGGAATGTGGGCCCAATATTACTGAATCTTCCAATATTTTTAGGCAGAAAAAAAGCTAAAATCCCAATTTTAAGGAGAAATTTTTCAATTTATAATCATCACAACAAATTCAAGTCATTGTATTGACCAGATACATCCATGAACCACTCTCTTGGAACCTCTGTTATGAAGTATAGGGTGAACTCCCAATTTCAGAGCTGAGCTGAGTTCCTCATTCCCCCCTCACCTCCATCACCAACACAAAAAACTGTTAGACACATAGTAAGCATTGCTGACAAGAACAGAAAACTTCACTGGAACAAGGGTGCTGGGTTTGGCAGCCAAGTCACTCAGCATACCTACCTAATGGAACATGATTTGAACTTGTGCCTTAAGAAAACTACAACTTACTAACTGGGTGTGGTGGCTCACATTCATAATCCCAGCACTTTGGGAGGCCAAGGTGGGTGGATCACTTGAGGCCAGGAGTTCAAGACCAGACTGGCCAACATAGGGAAACCCTGTCTCTATTAAAAATACAAAAATTAGCTGCGCATGGTGGCACGTGCCTGTATTCCCAGCTACTTGGGAGGGTGAGGCAGAGAACTGCTTGAACCTGAGAGGCAGAGGCTGCAGTGAGCTGAGATTGTGCCACTACATGCCAGCCTGGGTGACAGAGTGAAACTCTGTCTCAAAAAAAAAAATGAAAGAAAAAGAAAACTACAAATTACAGTATGTTATGGAGTAGCAGGCTGCTTATGGTACAGTTGCAACTGTAAATGCGAAATCCCTAAAGGCCAAAGTTCTACTTTATTATGCTTAAACATAAGATGCTTTTGCCAGTGATTTCTCTGTTGTCTGTAAGCTTCAACCCCACTGTTTTAGACACCACACCATAAAGCTGGAGCTAGGAGTCACATCTTATTTCTCAGTCTCTCTCGTCAGCTGGCTTTCAGTTAGCTTCTACCAATGGAAAACACTGGCAGGAAATAGGAAGACAGAAGTACTGAGAAGAAACAGCGCTTGCAGAGCGAGTTGACTTCCCTTCAGCGGCAGTGCACAGAAAGCCTCTTACCTCAGTGTACCCCATCCGAGGTACCAGCAGCCGCCGCCGCAACTGTCTCCTCAACCCCACGTGGCAGTCTGAGCACTAGCTGGTCCCACCTATTGGGATGCCCCTAACTACAAAACATCACGAATCAATCAGAAATCCAAGCATCAGTCCTCCAGAGACTTCTCGAAGATCCTAGATTTTGCTGACATCATTTCTCCCCTTATATTCTCTCAATTCCTAAAGATGTTAGCTGTTTTCTCAAAGTATTAATCTCTGGGTTAACCAATTCCCTATATTAAAGTCCTTCTGCTTAAAATAATTAACATGGTTTCTCTTTCCTTCATTCAACTTTGATTGATAGCAATTATTACAATAAAAATCTACTTCGTATGCTAGAATTTTTTTCTGAAATCATAATGTGAAAAAGAGTTTCTTCAAATACAAATACAAAAATTCAAAATCTTTACTACAGGAAAATGTTACCAAAAAGCCACAAAAATAGCTGTATAAAATCCCTATTAGAGCCAAATGCAGTGGCTCATGCCTGTAATCCCAGCGCTTTGGGAGGCCAAGGTGGGTGAATCACTGGAGGTCAGGAGTTCAAGACCAGCCTGGCCAACATGGTGAAACTCCCTCTCTACTAAAATACCAAAATTAGCTGTGTGTGGTGGCAGGTGCCTGTAATCCCAACTACTAGGAAGGCTGAGACAGCAGAATTTCTTGAACCCAGGAGGCAGAGGCTGCAGTGAGCCAAGATTGTACCACTGCACTCCAATCTGGGCAATAGAGTGAGACTCCATCTCAAAAAAAAAAAAGAAAAGAAAAAGAATCGCTCTTAGGATACTTCAGCTACTTATGTTGAAAGCTTCATGACTCATAAAAACACTTGACCAGTGGAGAATGGTTGCTCACATCTGTAATCCCAGCACTTTGGGAAGCCGAGGTGGGTGGATTGTCTGAGGTCAGGAGTTCATGGCCAGCCTGACCCACATGGCAAAACCCCATCTCTACTAAAAATACAAAAATTAGCAGGGCATGGTGGTGGGCCCCTGTAATCCCAGCTACTCAGGAGGCTGAGGCAGGAGAATTGCTTGAACCCAGGAGAGAGAGATTGCAGTGAGCTGAGATCGCACCATTGCACTGCAGCCTGGGTGACAGAGCAAGACTCCGTCTTGAAACACAACAACAACAACAACAAAAACCCACTTGACCTGCAGTGTCATCCTAATCAGCATTTATATCCCAAAGCCCCCTTCACTCTTCAGGAGTCCATCTCTACACATGCCAGCGGAAGCCAGTACTCAGGAGCCAATATTCTTAGGAATATTCTGCCAATTATGCCAGTGGATTTGGATCTGGATTTAAGATGAGCAAATAAATATTTAAAAATCAGATTTTATAAGCCAGCCATGTTTGGGGGAGAGGGCAGTGATTACTCATTCTAGAATAGACCTCATTTTATGAAACCATTTGCCTGAAGGTATCTTTAGAAATTTATATGTGCAAATATGTTTCCAAAAAAACGAGATTACATTATGGTTTTTTTTTTTCTTTAGAAACATCTACCCTGATATGGTTTGAATTTGTGTCCCCACCTAAATCTCATGTCAAATTGTAATCCCCTATGTTGGAGTTGAGGCCTGGTGGTGACTGGATCATGGGGGCAGATTTCCCCATTGCTGGTCTCATGATAGTGAGTTCTCAACAGACCAAGTTGTTTAAAAGTGTGTAGCACCTTCCCCTTCTCTCTCTTCCTTCTGCTCTGGCCATATAAGACATGCCTGCTTCGTCTTCACCTTCTGCCATATTGTAAGCTTCCTGAGGCCTCGCATACATGGTTACTGTGCAGCCTGATGACCTGTAAGACAATTAAACCTCTTTTCTTTATAAATTACTCAGTCTTAGGTAGTTCCTTATAGCAATGCTAGAACAAACTAATACATTCACCAAACTAATAATTATGGCTACACCTTGTATATAGGAATTGTTGTAGTAATGTCTTTTCTTCTTACAATAAGTACACATTAAAAAAAAAAAATAAGTACACATTGCTTTTATTATCATGGAAAATACATTTTAAAGTTCCTCTAGTGCAAATTTTAAATACTGGAATTTTAAAGCTGGGATTTACCCTCCATTTGAATGAAAATGCCTCAAGTATGTTGTGCCTTTTCAGTAAGCATCTACTGAGCATCTATGGCATGCCTGGTAGTGTACTACAAGAACCCCAAAGTAAAATTCCTGTTCCTGGAGAATCTAAATCTTACTGGCATGGTTCATAGGCATTTTTACAATAAGTAGACAATACATGACAGACCCTCCGTAAACACTTGTTTAATGAATACACACATGTACCATCATAGGATTTATTCTTCAAACTCTCGTTTCATAGAAGATTAGTTTCATTCAGTTCATTTATCACACATATATCATATTCCATCACTTCTAAGACACATATTGTCCACTTCTGAACTCTAAAATCAGAATGAAGCTTATCGTCAATGTGATTTTTTTAAAGTATTGTATCAGACAATTTGCAGCATTTTCTCTTTTATACTGTTTGGCTGTCTCCCCACCCAAATCTCATCCTGAATTGTAACTCCCACAATTCCCATGTGTTGTGGGAGGAACCCTGTAGGAGGTGATTGAATTATGGCAGTGGGTCTTTTCCGCACTGTTCTTGTGATGGTGAATGAATCCCACAAGATCTGATGCTTTTAAAAACCAAAGTTCCCCTGAACAAGCTCTCTCTCTTTGCCTGCCGCCACCCATGTAAGAAGTTATTGGCTCCTCCTTGCCTTCCGCCATGATTGTGAGACCTCCCCAGCCACATGTAACTGTAAGTCCATTAAATCTCTTTTTCTTCCCAGCCTCAGGTGTGTCTTTATCAGCAGCATGAAAACGGACTAATACAGTAAATAAAATAACAATATGTCTTTTCTTGATGGCATCTTAGATTGAATGAAATATAATACGTATTATAGTTTATATATACTGTAGAAAATACATGTAAATACTTAGGCATGTGCCCCCCTATGGTTCAAATGGGAAAAGTTGTCATAGGACCACTCCATTCCACGAACATTCAAGCCCCCAGTGATCACATGAAATCCACAACTACTAATTTATTTAAATGTTAAAATCAACAGCAGACAAGTAGCAAGTTTATTAAAATGTGTGCACTTAAGAGAGTTTATTTCCCAAAATTTTCCAATTACTATTGAATGTTAAACACGTATTTCTCATATTGAACTTTGATGTAAGGCATAAGAGTATATAAAAAGTATGTGCATTTCTAAGCACTCGTGTACTTACAAGACTTTCGTACTTTAGTGTTTGAAGTTAATCAATGGCTTAAAGTTCCTAAGAAACACAAAAATGACTAAATTGTGTAAGAACTGCAAAGTTATAAAAGAAACACCAATAATATCTTACATGAAAGATGAAATTAACTATGAGAAAAAAATGAAATTTTGTGACAAAGACAGAGAACACTTCAAGAAAGAGAACAATTTAAAAAACGTTAGTGGGGCATGGAGGCAAATGCCTGTGGTCCCAGCTACTCTGGAGGCTGAAGTAGGAGGATTGCTGGAGCCAGCAGTCAAGGCTGCAGTGAGCTGAGAGCATACCACTGCACTCCTGCATGGGCAACAGAGCAAGACCCCAACTCAAAAGAAAATTTTTAAAAAGGACAAAACATCACCAGACTATGTGATGTGATTTCATCAGTAAAATATAATCTATACTACCAAATAATAAAGGAATAACACTGACCAATGCAATGTAAAATATTGAGCAAATGCATTAAAGACAATATTTTAAAATAATAATTGACATCCAGGCAATAATTATTATGGTGGCTCATGCCTATAATCCCAGCACTTTGGGAGGCCAAGATGGGAGGACTGTTTCATCCCAGGAGTTTGAGAACAGCCTGGGCAACATGACAAGATCCTGTCCTATCAAAATAAAAAACTTCCAGGCTGGCCAACATGGCAAAGCCCCATCTCTACTAAAAATATAAAACTTAGCCAGGCATGGTGGCATGCACCTGTAATCTCAGCTACTCAGGTGGCTGAAGCACAAGAGTCACTTGAACCTGGGAGGCAGAAGTTGTGGTGAGCCCCGATCATGCAAATGCACTCCAGCCTGGGTAACAGGGTAAGAATCTGTTAAAAAAATTTGTAATGTTTTTTTAAAAAAATAATTATTGACATCCAGCCTGGGCAACACAGTGAGACTTCATCACTACAAAAATAATTTTTTAAATATCCAGGTGTGGTGGTGAGTACCTAGATACTTGGGAGGCTGAGTCAGGAGGATTGCTTGAGCCAAGGAGTTCAAGGCCACAGTGAGCTATGATTGCATTACTACACTCCATCCTGGGAGACAGAGCAAGATAATCTCTTAAAGAAACATTTTTAAAAATAATTATTATTGACATCTACTAGTTCAGTGACTGTATACCAGGTCTGCCTAGTTTAATCATGTAGTCCCTTCACCATCTCTTAGCCTTACTCTTCCATATTTTCTAACAAAAAGAAACTGATGTGGAAGCTGAAAGAAGAGAACAGGAAGAAAAGGGACAAGCCATACTTTCAAGCATTGATGACCACTGTCTATCCCTTGCTTTCTGATCCTGTGACCACCTGCGCCTCCAAAATAACTTTACTGAGGACCTTGAGAGCAGCAGTCTTCAGCTCGTTCCTCTCCCATACTATGCTCTCTCCCTTCCTGGAATTAGGAATACAAAAATCTGGAAATACACAGGAGCACATTCCCGTTCCCTGCTCTTGTCAGCTCAAACCCCACCTCGCCCACCCACTGACCAGAAGAGAGTCGGGCAGTCCCAACCAGGAAGCTCCTTTTCCTAGAGCATGCTTTAGGGAATGATTTTGAAACTGTATAAGTTTCTATTACTACAAAATAATAAAGAGAAATTCACTTAAGACTGTATTAAACATGGAACATAGAAAACAAAAAGTGGATTTTTGGGGTTTTTTTTTGTAATCAACATGATGTTAACATCTAAAAGATAAGGAAGAGGTGATGACTAAGAACAACATAGTACTATTATGGCCACAAGTTTACAAAAATAGCATCAATTCATTATACTGCTATTATTCACTGGAGTAATTTTCCATTGACTTCAAAGTATAGATTTGTTGGTAGAATGGAAAGGGTAAGATAAAGGCCAGATCCAATTCCTTTAGGTGAGATTGAGACTAAAATTTACAGAAGTGAGAAAACTGTCTTTAAGAAGATACTGACCGGTGCGGTGATGGTGGAAGTTGCTTTTTCATACAAAATATTTTCAAGAAAGCCTTTTGAAAGCACTTGTGACACAACGGATACAAAAGAGGATTGACAAAGGAATTGAACCACTGAAGCCAAAATGCAATTTTGTACCAAACTGATTTAGGACCTGTTGCTGAGGAGTAAAATGAAAGAGCAATTGTGAACAGAGAGTGCGGAGCCCAGCAAACAGCAAAAGCCCCTAAGAGAATGGCCAGTGACTTGGCTAATCTCCTGGCTCTGAGCAGTTCAACATGTTCCCTCTGGTGAAGAGCTACGGAATCTGACTGAGAGAAGGAACTCATTTTGGAAGCAATTCTACTGCTATTCATCTTGGTTCTTAAGGAAAACATAAGATTGCTCTTTCTCCCCTGTCTCTCTGAATGAAGGGATGCAGCTACTTCTGTCACTGCAGGAAGAGATGTCCTTGAAGATAGTCTACCTCTGAATGAGTGTCTACAGATGTTGGAAGAGACAGTGGTCAGTCCAGGATGGCTTTGGCACCTACTGAGATGATCACGCTTCCACAGGCTCCAATAAATATTCATGTTGAAATAAGCGACTAAGGTGACTGGGATCAGGAATTCCAAGAATGATGTGATGGCAGGGATGTACCATTCTGAAAAAAATCCAGGTTCACATTCATTATCTTCTTTCTTCCAAGACTCTGAAACTAGAATCACTGGCCCATTCACTAAGAAGGCCAGCACCCAAACGGCCACCATCAGAGTGACAATCTTCAAGATCCCAGTGTGTTGAGTTCTATAAGACACCTAGAAGAGACCAAACAAATTATTTTCAATATAATAAATGCATATTGAATGTATAAAGTATCTCATAGGCCCTTAGAAATTTCAGGGATGTGCAAAGGATGAAAACATTAACTAACCTGGGTATCATAATGTGGACCAGGGCAGACAGTTCAACTTCAGCGGAGCCTGGGCCAAGATGCAAACTCTCTTAATGGTTTTCAGGGGAGAAGACTGTCACCTTCAAGGTTAAATCTCTGATACTATAGAAAATACCAAGGCCAGTGTGTAAAATAAGAAAGCAGTTTTTCCTAACTGACACTAACCTGAATGTCAAACAACTGAAGTTGGGCACACCTTCCCACAGTATTGCTCAATCTGCAGGCTGAGGCATTTTAATGAAATAGAGTAGTCGATATCAGAATGCATCACGCATAGTGAGGGTAAGTGTTCTTTGATGATGTTTCATCAAACAAAGCAATATATCTTTGGAAACAGAGATACACGTATGTAAGGGGAAACGCTGTTTCTCTGAATCACAGTGCCGAATGCATTTCTCACTGTAGTCACAGTCAAAAAAGTTTGAAAGTCATTGCCTTATCTGATTCCAATATTCAGAAAGAATCTACTCTGTAGTTTTTGCTGAGACTTCAAGGTGGAATCAAAAAGAGAAAGGATTCTTATCACTCCCAAGAAGATTAATCACAGACAAATATATTTTTATTTTATTTTATTTAGATGGCGTTTCATACTTGTCACCCAGGCTGGAGTGCAATGGTGTGATCTCAGCTCACTGCAACCTCTGCTTCCCAGGTTCAAGCAATTCTCCTGCCTCAGCCTCCTGAATAGCTGGGATTACAGGTGCCTGCCTCCACACTTAGCTAATTGTTATATTTTTAGTAGAGACGATGTTTCTCTACATCTCTGTTGGCCAGGCTGGTCTCAAACTCCTGACCTCAGGTGATCTGCCCACCTCAGCTTCCCAGAATGCTGGAATTACAGGTATGAGCCACCACACCCAGCCCAAAAAAGATTTTTAAACCCGCTGCAGATAAATACCACATTACTGTTAAGCATTACCAAGTCGCTTCCTGATGTTTGTTTGTTTGTGACAAGGTCTTGTCCTATTGCCCAGGCTGCAGTGCAGTGGCACAACACAGCTCACTGCAGCTGTGCCTAGGCTGCCTAGGATCAAGTCATCCTCCTGCTTCAGCCTCCCAAGTGGCTAGGACCATGGATGTACACCACCACACCTGGCTACATTTTTTTGTTATTTGTAGAGACAGTGTCTCACTATGTTGCCCATGCTGGTCTCAAACTCCTGGATTCAAGTGATCCTCGTGTCTCAGCCTCTCAAAATGCTGTGATTTTAAACTTGAGCTCACCCAGCCCACCACGTCCCTTCTTTGTGCAAGCCTTTCCATCTGAAAAATACTACGTCAAAGCCGTGATGACCATCCACTTTGAGAGACACGACTGTGGCTAGTGCCACCATCTTTTTTAAGGATGAAGAATATTCTAACGCCATTTGGTCACAAGGACAAGCTTCTATAAAGGATAATGAGATTCTATGAGTGAGGACTGCCCTCTGATCACAGGACCCAAAATCCTTATGTCAATCCTAAAATCTTTAAGAATGTCTTCTAAATCTAAATACATATAAGACCAATCACTGTATATGAGCGATAAGGAATTCTTTAAGGCAACCTGGAACAGACAACCTCTGTGAACCTTATTTAAATCAATAAGATTTCAAAAAAAAAATTAGTAAGGTTCCAAGGTTCCTTTCAGCTCATATATTCCATGTTTCTCTAATTTCCTCACTCACAGGGAAAAAAACTGATCTACCCATGTCATTGGAACATGCCCCCTTTTTTCTGTTTCTTGTGTCATATTTTTTCTGTGAGTGTTTGAGTCTCGTCCTGCAGTGGTTTTAAAGGGGTGCAACATTGCCCAGCACACTTTCTTTGTTGGATCATACAGGCTGAGAAGACCTCTATTGGCTAGAGATAAAAGAAAGCTAGTTAATAATTTAAAAATAAAAACACTAAGTTTTTTTTTAATTGTAGGGAGGTGGGTTTGTTGCGTTTTTCTGAGGCTAAGTTAAAATGCCTATGGTCCTGACCACAAGCTCTCATATACAATACACTTTTTTTTTTGGCCTTCTGTTTCCTGTGCCACTAATTAATACATCTCTTGCACTAAATCTAATGATTATGAAGATGGTAACAATACCCAGATGGTCCTAAAGCTGCGTTTAGTTTTCTAATTGCTCTGCTCAGCCTTGGTAATGATACAACACAATATGTTGGAAAATGATCTCTCCTCCATTATGCATAAGGTCAATTGAGATAATGGACAGCCAAGGAGTTGTGAAGAGGATGCTGATCTCTGCATCTCCAGGGAGCATGTTTGAAAGATAGACAGCTCAAGCATTGGTTGAATCGAGACTCAGGCTGCATGGAGTGGTGTCCCTGAAATCCCGCAGTGACCTAGTTCTTGCCCACTACAGAATATGTCCATTATTCATGACACTGTCTCTTACCCTACTTTTTGCCCCACCCCAATAAAATGTCCACACCTTCTGTCAATCAGGGTTTTTTTGTTTTTTTTTTTGAGAATCTGAGCAGCCTACTAGAACTTGTTGGTGGTAATAATGAGATGGATTTCAGGACCATTCTAAATGCCTGTTGTGAGTTAAATTGTGCCCCGCAAAAAGGTATGGTGATGTCCTAAACCCCTCAGTACCTGTGAATGTGGCCTTATTTGGAAATATGGTGTTTGCAGATGTAATCAAGATGAGCTCATACTGAATTAGGGGTCACCCTATCCAATATGTCCTTATAAGAAGAGAAAACAGAGACACAGACACAGCCCCAGGGAGAGAACACCACGTTACAACAGAGGTAAAGACTGCAGGAACACATCTATAAGCCAAGGAATGCCAGGGGTTGCTGGCAACACCAGAAGCTAAAAGACAGGCACAGAACAAGGTGTCCCGGAGCCTTCCGAGAAAGGATGGCCCTGTCAGCACCTTGATTTTAAATGTCTAGCCTTCAGAAATGGGAGAGAATAAATTCCTGTTGTTTTCAGCAACCCTGTTTGTGGTCTTGTTATGGTAGCCCTAGCAACAAACATCGTGTCCCAGTGAGTCCTCCCAGGGCAGATTTCCTGTGGTCTTGATTTTACTGTCAAGTTTCTTTCTTCTCCTGCCAGTAAAGAAGTACCCTTCTTTTACTATCTTAATTGTGTGTACAATTTTTTTTTTTTGAGATGGAGTTTCATTCTCATTGCCCAGGCTAGAGTGCAATGGCATGATCTTGTCTCACCACAACCTCTACCTCCCAGGTTCAAGCAATTCTCCTGCCTTAGCCTCCCAAGTAGCTGGGATTACAGGCATGCGCCACCACACCCAGCTAATTTTGTATTTTTATTAGAGACAGGGTTTCTACATGTTGGTCAGGCTGGTCTCAAACTTCCAACCTCAGGTGATCTGCCTGCCTTAGCCTCCCACCGTGCTGGGATGGCAGGCATGAACCACCATGCCTGGCTTTTTTTTTTTTTTTTTGAGAGGGAGTCTCGCTCTGTCACCCAGGCTGGAGTGCAGTGGTCCAATTTTGGCTCACTGCAGCCTCCACCTTTTAGGTTCAAGTTCCTGCCTCAGCCTCCTGAGTAGCTGAAATTACAGGCGCCCACCACCAAGCCCAGCTGATTTTTGTATTTTTAGTAGGGACTGGGTTTTGCCATGTTGGGCAGGCTGATCTCGAACTCCTGACCTCAAGTGATCTGCCAGTCAGCCTTCCAAAGCCCTGGGATTACAGGCGTGAGCCACCTCTATGTACCATGCCCAGCCTCTATTTACATTTTAATTCCCATTCCCTCCAGCTATCATGAAGACCTGCTGTTCTCCTTCCCCACCCAACTCTGACTTCAGCCACATGGAATCTGCCCCTCCAGAAAACCTCTCTGAGGACTGTAATTATGTGCTCCACCTGCACTGAGCTTTACTTTTCCAAATTATTGTCAGATTTCCATTTCCCAGGCCACCCATCCCTTTCCCCTTTCTTACTTTCAGCTATAGTAAGGGTTCAGCTTCCCCATTGCTGCTTCTTATGGGCTCCCAGTGGTCTTTGAAGGCTTCCTTCTGTTTTCACATGGCTGCATTTGAACTATTCGCCAACAGAGGTACAAGGTCTGCTTGAGCATCCCTGCCAGCACCCATATATTCATTTGTGGAACCCTGTGTATTCTACTCTGTGCTGTGCACAGGGGACCCAGGATCTAGCCAACCCATCCCTCATCAAGTTTACAGCCTGAATTGCCTGGGGAATTCCTTGGGGCAAGACTAGGATTTAAAAACAAAAAACACGCTGGGCATGGTGGCTCACACCTGTAATTTTAGCCCTTTGGGAGGCCAAGGCAGGTGGATACTTGAGGTCAAGAGAAATCATCCTGGCCAACATGGCAAAACCTCTTCTCCACTAAAAATAAAAAATTTGCTGGGCGTGGTGGTGCACACCTGTAATCTCATCTACTCAGGAAGCTGAGGCAGGAGAATGGCTTGAACCCAGGAGGCAGAGTTTGCAGTGAGCCAAGATTGTGCCACTGCACTCCAGCCTGGGGGACAGAGCGAGACTCTGTCTAAAAGAAATAAAAATATAAATAAATAATAATAAACAAAAAGAAAGTCTAATTCCCTCTGGGCCTCATCCCTCATCTCTCTGTAACCTCTAAGCACTTTGCCTGACTGGGTAAGCTGTCCCTTTTCTGCCCTCAAACCTGAGAATAAATTCAAAAGCTGAGCCATCCAGATAAGGAAGCCCTAGGAACATCCAGTGGAGGTTAAAAAGAAATGTTAACCCAGAAAGAAAGGAAAAAATGTAAAGTGCAAATGGGAAAGATTCTGAATTAGAGCACTGTTTTCAAACACTCGACTGTGATCTAAAGTAAAAAATATATTATATGTCATAACCAAACACACAGATGGAAGTATTCATAAAACGGTATTTACTTTTCTTACGTACAAGATATTCTGATGTTTTCTAATTTTTTATTTTGGTCTATTCCATTTCTTTTTCTTTTTTTGAGATGGAGTCTTGCTGTGACACCCAGGCTGGAATGCAATGGTGCAGTCTCAGCTCACTGCAACCTCCACCTCCCAAGTTCAAGCAATTCTCCTGCCTCACCCTCCCAAGTAGCTGGGATTGTAGGCAAGCACCATCATGCCTAGCTAATTTTTTTGTATTTTTAGTAGAGATGGGGGTTTCACCCTATTGACCAGGCTAGTCTCCAACTCCTGACCTCAAGATATCCACCCACCTTGGCCTTCCAAAGTGCTGAAATTACAGGTGTGAGCCACCATGCTCAGCTGTCCTATTCTGTTTCAGTCCAAATCTTTACACTGAAAACAAAGGTCACAACCCACTAAACTGATTTCATAAATCAATAATGGGTCAAGGCTAGCAGTTTGAGAACTATGAGACTATAGGCATTTGAATTGTTAATCTAAGCTGATCTGCACTCTCTGCATACAATACAAACTGCAGTGGACCCTGGCGCCAATGAAGTACCCAGTGCTAAGGGGGAGACACAGCTGGCTGCCCTCCCACATCCATTCTCCCCTCCTTCCTGATTATGTGGTGGCTCAACTAGAGTTTCCCAGCTTCCTCTGTGGCAAGATGGGACCATGTGACTAAGTTTCACCAATTAAATGTAAGTGGAAATGACTATGTGACTCTGCACTACTTGGTTAAAAGAAAAATCCCTTGCTCTGAACTTCTTCCCTTTCCCCTTCCTCTCCAGAACCTAGTATGACAACAACCTGACTTTGACCATGCAGAGAAGGAGAATGGCCTAAAGCAGAGGCCAGAAAACTACTGGCCATGAAACAAATATGGGCTAGGTGCTGTAGCTCATGCCTGTAACCCCAGCAGCTTGGGAGGCAGAGGCAGAGGCAGGCGGGTCAATTGAGGTCAGGAGTACGAGATCAGCCTGGCCAACACAGTGAAACCCCATCCCTACTAAAAATACAAAAATTAGCCAGGTGTGGTGGTGCTCACCTGTAATCTCAGCTACTCAGGAGACTGAGGCAGGAGGATCACTTGAACCTGGGAGGCAGAGGTTGCAGTGAGCCAAGATCATGCCATTGCATTCCAGCCTGGGTAACAGAGTAACAAATGTGGCCCACCACCTATTTGGGTAAATAAAGTTTTATTGAAACACAGCCAAGTACATATTTTGTATATATTATCGATGGCTGTTTGGGGGATACAATGGTACATTTGAGCAGTTGCAATAGAAACAGTAGGTCCTACAAAGCCAAAAATATTTGCTATCTGGCTCTTTATAGTGAAGGTTTGCCAGTCCCTGCCCTAGAAGGTGCAGAGCCACCTGCCAGCAGGGTTCCTGGTGAGTTCCTAGAGCAGAGAATGCACCCTTTCATGGACTGTTGTGTGAGAGAAAAATAAACTTTTAGCTTGCTTAAGCCTCCACATTTTATAGTCTCTTCGACACAGTAGTTTATCTTCGCCCGATCTAATGCACCTTCCGATCCTGTCAACCTCCAGCTGCACAATCCTCCCAGGCTAGAGCTGTCACTGTCCTCTCAAGGCCCCCAGCACAGCATTTAGTCCATTGTACTGAACCCACATGTTCCTGGATCCACCTCCATGCAGATGACTATGTTCGTCAAGAATAGAGACCCACACAAAAAAAGAAACAACAGATACTGGGCCTACCTGAGGATGGTAGGTGGGAAGAGGAAGAGGATTAAAAAAAACTACCTATCAGATACTATGTTCATTACCGAAGTGACAAAATATACTCTACACCAAAACCCCCACAACATGCAGCTTACTTATATAACAAACCTGAATACATATCCCCTGAACCCAAAACAAACATTCAAAAGAAGATAAAATAGAGACTCTGCATATTCACTTTTGTAACGCAGCACTCAGCAAAGTGCCTATCACACAGTAGTAACCCAAAGAGTTGGGTCCCTGAGATGGGAGTGAAGGAAGTTTCCCATGTAGGCCTCAAAGGTTTTAGATCACTGCCCCATATTTCTGTGGCCCCCTTGTCCTTACTTCAACCTTATTTTCTCCTTTGTTCCATTGCTGAGAAATTTAGCTGACTTAAGAATTTCCACTAACTCGTAGATGAGGCAATTCCAAATCTTGAGTAAGTTCTGGCTTCCTGGGCACGGGCTCTAAGTGGCATGAGGACTTGATCTTTCTGACTGGTCCCACTGTGTAAACTGTAGCTTCCCTGTATACTGTCTTTTCCTTTGGCCATTCAGAATTGATTTTTTCACCGCATTTCAGTCTGGGATTCTTTCTACTGCCCTCCAAGTTCCATTCCAAGGAATATATTCAGGTCTCAGTATGTCTATGGAGTGGAACCAATAAACCTACCATGAATGTCATGTCCATCCAATCTACTATAGACTCAGTATACCAGTTGGGACAACTTGCCTTGGGTTTTCTTTGATTCCTTCCCAGGTGAGTTAATTATCCAAATCACACAAACTAACAACCAGCAAGAACTTTATGCCAGACAACAAAAGGAGAGGGCTCCTCCAAGGTCTGTCAATTAAATTAAATGTTAGGCTTAAAAGAATTTTTGCTTGGGAATCCAACATGTACATTTACATAATCTTCTAAGGGGGAAAAATTAATGTTTTGACTTACAGCGTTTGAGACTGACAGGTATCGATCATAGCTGATGAGGACAATGTTATATACAGATGCTGTACATAAAAGATAGTCAGTAGTGAGCCAGAATACACAGATTTCCTTTCCAAAATCCCATTCAAACAGTGTGTGAGGGATGTACAAAGGAATGGAGATCACACCTGCACAGGAAAAACAGAAGCATAAGAAATTAGTGCATATCAATAAACACAAAGGGGCATGTTTTAATGGCAACACAATACCATGACATATCTGAATTCACTACAAATGGTTTGGTTCTAATTCAGAAATTCATGGTATTTCATGAAGCAGCTCAGGACAGATTTTCTACACATTCCTTAAATGCCATTTTTGTAAGAAGGGTCATGAACATTGTACAGTTGGCCTCCCTTATCTGTGGATTCTACATCTGTAGATTCAACCAATCACAGAGAGAAAATATTTGGATAAAAGCTGCATCTGTACTGGACATGTACAGACTTTGACTAATGGTAATGACTCCTGGTCATTATTCTCTAAACAACACAGTATAACAACTATTTACATAGCACTCACATTGTCTTTGGTATTATATGTAATCTACAGATGATTTAAAGTATATGAGAGGGGGCAGGAGTGATGGATCACTCCTGTAATCCCAGCACTTTGGGAGACCAAGGTGGGTGGATCACTTGAGACCAGGAGTTCGAGACTGGCCTGGGCAACATGGTGAAACCCCATCTCTATTATTAAAAATAATAACAAATAATAATAAAGTAGACAGGAGGATGTGCATAGGTTACATGCAACTACTACAGCATTTTATATCAGGGACTTCAGTTTTCTTGGATTCTGCTATCTAAGGGGAGTCCTGGAACAAATCCCCCACAGACACCAAGGGGTGACTGTACTTTCAATGGCTCCTTTCTACTTTCCAAATTAAGTACAGGTCTAGTATTGCCAGCCACAGGCAGCATAAATCATGTTTACTTTCTCCATGCTCTAACCCAAACAGGATGGATGGGCCACCCTTCCCCCAAACACACTGCATATTTTCACATCCCTTTTTTCTTTGCCAGTGTCATTCTTTGTTCCTAAAATGCCCGTCTGTCTTCTACTAAAAAGTCAATTCAGGCCGGGCATGGTGGCTCAGCCTCTGGGAGGCTGAGGCAGGTGGATCACACGAGGTCAGGAGTTCAAGACCAGCCTGCCCACCATGGTGAAACCCAGTCTCTACTGAAAATACAAAAATTAGGCAGACATGGTGGCCCATGCCTATAATCCCAGCTATTCAGGAGGCTGAGGCAGGAGAATCACTTGAACACAGGAGATGGAGGTTGCAGTGAGATGAGATTGCACCACTGCACTGCATCCTGGGTGACAGAGTGAGACCCTGTCTCAAAAAAATAAAAATAAAAAATAAATAGCCAATTCATTTCCTTCTCATTATTCACTAAGACCAAAAAGTGACCTCATCCATGTCCTCTTTCTGGGAGCTTCCTCAGCAGAAGTGACCCCTCTGTCCTCTGCACTTTCCTAGTCCTTTGCTCATCTTTCCCTCTCTCATACATTAATTACTTCTACTTTTATATCATAGTCATCTTTTGAGTCTGTCTCTTCTGAGGATTAGGGCCATCTCACAAATCAATGTCTGTGTTTCCTGCATCCTCTAGAGTTGGCCAATGACTTGTACATTTAACTTAAATTCATAACAGCCAATATGTTTTGCACAATTACCATATGGCAGACCCTGTGCTGTGTGCATTGCAAGTGTCACCTCATTTCACCTTCAAAGAAACTTTGTGAGGAAGGGACCATGCTGAGATAACACTTAAAGAACCTGAAGCTCTGAAAAGAGACAATTAGACCAAGGTCCACTCAGTTAGCAAGTGGAGAAGATTTATGTTAAACCAGGCAATGTGATTTCAGAACCTCTGACTTCACCTATGACTCTTCACTGCATGAACAAACAGACACGCTCTACCACAGTGATTCAGCTCAGTGCAGAAACTGCTTAACTGACAAGTGACAAAATGAGGTTCCTTTTCCTTTAGCTTTTAGAGGTTTTTAATTACATTGGCATTTCACAAAGGTGTGATTAGTTGCTGAGAATATGATCTATTAGGTGGAAGCTCAGATAAAATCTTATTTTGTTGAGTTTCTTCAAATGTATCAGGCACTTCCAGGAATTCCCATTTTTTCATATGAGAACCAAATTAGTCTATCATTAAGAATAATAATAAAGATAAAGGAAAAGGAAAGGAAGAAGGAAAGCCTGCATTCTACAATAATAAGACCACATGAGGCTATAATGGCATGGTTTCAGAACCAGTGGAAGGTAGTGCTAAATAAACCCTCCTATTTTATCCCTAGGTTCACATACAAAGATGAAACACAAGACCCCATAGAGATGAAGAGTTGCATGGTCAATTCTTATATGTAGTTCAAATAACCTGCTTGTTTCATGTTTCAAGTATATTTTCAATGATAAGTAAACTTCCTTAGGGTGCCTTTCATCTCCTCCAGGGTGAGTGTGTGTATGTCTATGGTATAAAATAGGTCACTAGCTGAGCTTGGTGGCTCATGCCTGTAAACCCAGTACCTTGAAAGGTTGAGGGAGGTAGATCACTTGAGCCCAGGAGTTTGAAACCAGACTGGTCAACATGGAAGAAACCCATTTCCACAAAGAAAAAAATACAAAAATGAGCTGGACACAGTTGCACATGCCTGTAGTCCCAGCTAATCAGGAGGCTGAGGCAGGAGGATCACTTGAGCAAGGGAGGTCAAGGCTGGAGTGAGCCATGATCACACCACTGCACTCCAGCCTTGATGATAGAGTGAGACCCTGCCTCAAAAATAAATAAATAAATAAATAAAATAATGTAGGTCACCAATAATGGGTCAAGACTAGCAGTTTGAAAATATGAGACTATTGGCATTTTAATTGTTAATCTAAGCTGATCTGCACTGAAGGAAATAAAAGTATCCAAACAGAGACATTTATTATATTTTAGCCCACGGTTGTGCCTTCCAGTGTTCTCAACATGAGGATTTTCAACACTGGCACTCATTTCTTCCACAGAAATGAAAAAGAAGAGAGATGCCAGTCATGCATTCTAGACACCAGTGACTGAGAGGTGCAGGGGAGAGGTGGGAGGTAAATGCTCTTTGTCGCACGCTTTCTGATTTACACCAAAAAGGAAGGGTGTGTTTGAAAGCATAGGTGCTGCTGGAAACGGGTCGGCTGGAGACAGGCTCTAGGGTTTCCTTTGACTTTCGGAACCCCCGCTCTGTGCTGTCACCCTGCGTTCTATGTAATGCTTCTCTACTTGTGACATGCACATTTCCTCTGTCTGGTTGAGCAACAGAGATGTCTGTGGCTCATTCCAAAGAAGTTGCAAAAAAAGCGAATCTAAACTATTTCTCTGATATACCTACTCCAAAGTGTTTCTACACCTTCAATTCTGGAATTATGGTTTTGGGTCAAATGGAGTTGATAAGTAAAATTAAGAGCCCGTTTCTTGAACAGATTAAGACAAAACTGAAAACAAACTATATGCCCCACTTTCCCAGTCCCATTCCTACTCCTCACCCCTCAATTACTCCACCCCAGTCCCTCTGGCCTCCAATGCACCACACACCCTTCCGCCTCAGATCCCGTGCACCTGCTATTCCTTGGCATGAAATGCTCTTCCCCCAAGGGCAACTTCTGTTTGCTCAAATGTCTTTCTTTTTTGCTTTGTTTTGTTTTGGTTTTTAGGCAGTACAGTCTGGCTCTGTCACCTAGGCTGGAGTACAGTAGCACTCCACCTCCTGGGTTCAAGTGATTCTCCTGCCTCAGCCTCCTGAGTAGATGGGATTACAGGCATGTGCCACCATGCCCAATTAATCTGTGTATTTTTAATAGAGATAAGAGTTTCATCACATTGGCCAGGCTGGTCTCAAACTCCCAGCCTCAAGTGATCCACCAGCCTCAGCCTCCCAAAGTGCTGGGATTACACCTGTGAGCCAAAGCTTCTGGCCTTTAAATGTGTCTTTCTCAGAAAATTTTAGCTCCAAGGTTTAAAATTGCAGCCCTATCCCCAATACACTACTTCTCCTTCATCTCTGCATTTTTTCAGTAGCAATTATCAACCTCTAAAATACTATATAATTTGACTTACTTATTTTTCTTGTTTATTGTCTGTCTCCATGCCCCTGCTCCCAGTAGAAATAGAAGCATCACGAGGGCAGGGATTTCCACCTGTATTTTTACTGCTCTATCCCCAGAACCTCAGAAAGCGCCTGCTTTAAAATAAATGATTGTTGGATGAACAAATAGATAAGGATGGGGAAGCCCAGTTTGCTCTAAAATTGCCATCCATCTGGTATTGTCCCTTCTTTCTAAGTCAACTAAGAAGCTACATCTTCCATGAGAAAATGGCAATTAAAGGTGGGAGGAGTTAAAATGCCAAGTAAATCTTTTGGGCCACCAGAGGAATGTGTGGATGACGGTGAGGGCACAGAGGGTGTTATGGCCTGAACGTGTATAGCCTCCCCAAATTCACATGTTGGAGCCTTAACCCCTCATGTGGCTATATTTGGAACTAAGACCTTTAAGGAAAATATTAAAGGTAAAAACGTTAATAAGAGTGGGGCCCTGATCCAATGGTGTCCTTATAGGAAGAGATGGCAGAGCTCGCTCTCTCTCTTTCTGTGCACACTCAGAGAAAACCCTCGTGAGGGTGCAGGTAGAGGGCAGCCATCTGCAAGCCAGAAAGAGAGCCCTCATCAGGAACCAAAATTGGCCAGAATCTTGAAATGCCCCCGGCTCCAGAACTGTGAGAAAGCAAATGTCAGTTGTTTAAGCCACCCAGTCTAGAGCATTTTGTTACAGCAGCCTGAGCAGATGAATGCAGAAGGCCAGGAAAGAGTCCTGAACTCAGGCATAGAGGTATCAAGATAAACTTTGCCCTCTTGAACGTTTGGTTCAGGCTCTGAGAGCAGCAACCACCTTTATCCCCTGAAGATCCTATCCAGCCACCTGTCACATGGTCACATAGGCCACAAATGCCAGTACAACATGTAGATGAGAAGAAACTACCCATAAATGGAAACACTGGTCACATGATAACACTTCCACAGATATTGATGTAGATATACATAATATGTGTTTCTCAGAATACTGTACAGATGAGGTGTTATTTATAGATCATCTGGTATAGGTAGTACTAGAATTTTCCTCAATAAATCTTTGCTTTCAACAGTAAATTCAGCCTGAGAAGCTAGCAATTCGGGTGCCACAAATTTAGATTCTCCACAGAGGGCCAGTTCTAAAACCTGGGAGAAGAGGACGATCAGAAAGAAAGGCCACAGTATCAACCACATGTGAGGTTCTAATCTGCCCTGCCATTGTCACATGGCTCTGGAGGACCATATCTCATGAACCTAAATGTTAAGAATCAATGGCTTACAGCTGCAGAAAACCTCTTATGAGTTCTGCCCTGCATGCTCACCACTTCCATGCCGTCTTCCAGGCTCAGAGATGAAAGGTTCACTTCCAAGCATGGCAAAGGAGAAAGAACAGCATTGGCAGAAAACTTGCATCCTGTTACAAAAAGCTCCCAGGGACTGTGTCATGATGAGCCCTGCGTTAAATATACAGACCTCTGGATGAAGCTGACACCAGGCGGGAGAGATATGAGGGATGAGGCTGGCAGATGAATGGAGACTCTGACCTGACCTGCACCTGACTCCTTTAATCAGAAGCAAAAGAAATTATCTGAATTGTTTCCTCATCCACCTGCTGATGGAGGAGACCACCAGGACTGCTAAATAACTACATCTGCAGGGCCATTTCCCAAAAATAAGCTCAAGTCCTTGAGGGTAGGATTGCCATGATGCTGGCTTGGGCCAGATACGGAGACATTTTGATCTAGAACCATCTTTTTCTTTTTTCTTTCTTTCTTTTTATTGAGACAGAGTTTTGCTCTTATTGCCCAGGCTAGAAGGCAATGGTACGATCTCAGCTCACAGCAACCTCTGCCTCCTAGGTTCAAGCGATTCTCCTGCCTCAGCCTCCTGAATAGCTGGGATTACAGCCATGAGTCACCATGCCTGGCTAATTTTGTGTTTTTAGTAGAGATGGGGTTTCTTCATGTCGGTCTCAAACCCCTAACCTCCAGTGATCTGCCAACCTTGGCCTCCTAAAATGCTAGGATTACAAGTGTGAGCCACCAAGCCCAGCCATAGAACTATCTTTATTCAAAAGTTTCAGGGCTCAGGCTGTCTCAGCTGTCTCGCCTATCCCTCCCTAAAACTGGGGCAGTCAGGGCCTCACTCCCTTTGGATTAGTAAAAACACATCATCTATTTTAAGTGCTGACTGTCATCTGAAAGTCACAGGATTCTGTGAAGAAGGAAGAAGCAAGGGATACATATATTTATAGTGGAACCTTCTCTATGTTCACATAAATAAACTTGTGTATTTGTACATGTTTATGGGAGCACAGAGAATGATGTGGAAGGATTTACTTCAAGCAGCAAATGTTGGTTACCTGAAGGAACAGAACTGAGGAAACGAACGGGGAGATGTTGCATTTTTTCAATACTTCTTTAAGGGTTAGCGGTCTTTATCTGGCATTTCTATGCCATGACTCCTAAATCAATCTCCTCAACTAGAATGTTTCTCCAGAACTTTCAATGCAACATCAGAACCACAGCTGCCCTGCCCAAATGCTTCCTGTTTCTTTGAAGAGTGCCATACTGTTCCTAGTCTCAGAAGCCCAGTCTTTAACTCAGATTTCTCCTTTCCTGCCCAGCCCCACCTTTAGCCGCTCTGCCTGCTGGCCTTCCTATCCAATCAGCCTAGCTCAGGTTCTAACTGCATGACTTCTGCCTAGATTGCTGCAGGATCATCCCTGAAACCATGCCACCCGACACTCCAGTTTCCCCACTTCCTATGGCTCTTCCGATGCCTTTAAAATAAAGCTTTGATCCTTTCAACCACTCACCTGTTTTCAAATCCTTAAATCTCCACATGGCCTGCTGAATAAACTCCACTCCACTCTCACCCTGGTATTTAAGGCCCTAACTGTATAGACTTCAACTGCATCTCTACTGCTCCCTTGCACCCATCTGCACACCAGCCAGCTTCAAGCTCTCCCTTAGGAAGATAAGCACAATAACTTTTTACCAGCAGGCCTTTGCTCATTCTTGAAATACTCATCTCCGCCCTATCACTGCCTATGGAAATTCTATCCATCCTTCAAAGTTCAGGTTAAATGCCATTGTTTGCTAACTAAACGTGCTTTATCCCTCCTCCAAGTGACCATAGCACTCATTAGGTCTTCTTGGGTTCTTATGTTACTCTATGCTGCTATAGTCATTTCTGAACATCTCTTGTCCACTCTTCTACATCAAAACTTTACTGGAAGAGACTAACCTAATCTTCTATAGATCCCTTGATTACCTAATAGTGTTTACATACCTAGCAGTACTTACTATACATGGTAGATACTATACTAACATTTGTGATCTAGATGGGGGTTGACCCCTATCTGCAGATAAATTAAAAAAAAAAAAAGGAACTAACACTTATTGAGTAACCATTGTATTCCAGGAAATGAACTACGTATTTTATGTGTTTATTTCATTTTAACATAAATGTAAACCTTATGTAGCTATAAACAAAAAAAATCTGAATATGCCAGATTATATTATACTAAAAACTCCTATAAAACAACCTCATCAGCTAACATGTCTGCACATCTACTTATTATGATAAGCAATGTTTAAAAATAATCATCAGGCAGTGAAAAATTATATAGTGCATATTTTCAAAGAACAATTGATTTGATGTCTATGGTCTCTTAACAATTATATAATGCTATGACATATGCAAGGTAGTTTACGGTTGGGTATATTTTGCAAAATTGTATACCATATCATTAAATTAATACTATTGACCATATTATTTAATTGACTTGACTATTCCATGTTCTGATTGTACTGGTTACTAGCATACACATAACTTCTTATTACTCTAACACTGTGATACTGAGAAAACGATATTTACTTACAGAGGAATACTTACAAGTCTAAACATACAAGGAAAATAGCACCAGAACCAAGTAGCTCTTACATTAAAACAGTTTTGGGGCTATTCTAAATTTTTCTTTATTCTATAAAAAGAAAATAAACTGTTTTCAGCTGAAAATTCCCAGATAGCACTGATTTAAATAAGTATAACGTTCCCTTACAGTGCCATATAGCCCCCTTCCAAAATTTAATATTTAAACTTTTTTGTTTATTTTTTCCCAGTTGTACACAGTACCCTGAAATAACAAAAGTTACTTTCATGTTTTGGAAATAAATTAAATTTGGAAAAAATTGTCTTAAATAAAGATATAAAACTTACCCACAAAGAAGTCAGAGATGGCCAAGTTAAGAAAAAAGTAACTACTTCGATGTCTAAGGTTTTTGTCCACCACAAAAGCTAAAATGACCACAGCATTTCCTAGCATTATAGCAAAAGCTAGTAAGGACATAAAAAATGCTAAAGTAATATGAGCACTTAGTGAGGAGTTACTTGTGCTATTAGTATCTGACATTACATCAAATGATGAAGACGATCAAATTAGCAAATTAATCCAGCCAGACAATTCTGACAAGTATGTTTTCGAATCAGATACCTAAAATGTATAGTCTTCTACTCAAAACAACACTGTTTTAATCTAATGCTGATGTCTAAATACTTCCTGATTCTTGATAAAGCAAACTTGTGGTAACAGTTTCCCTTTAACTGATACTGAAAAAGTACTTAGAAAAAACGGTGAAATGTTTTACCTTAAACATCTTACTGTGATTCATTCATCTCCCATTATTAAAATAAAATTATTAAATATCTATAAAATATAATAGATACATTGTATAGGTAATAAATTGGACTCACGTGAGGTTCATTTTTGTTGTTTTTGTTGTTTTCTGGAGAAAGAGTCTTGCTCTGTTGCCCAGGCTGGAGTGCAGTGGCATTTGTTGGTTCATCGCAACCTCTGTCTCCCAGGTTCAGACAATTCTCCTGCCTCAGCCTCCTGAGTAGCTGGGATTAAAGACACACATCACCACACCTAGCTAATTTTTGTGTTTCTAATAGAGATGGGGTTTTACCATGTTCACCAGGCTGGTCTTGAAATCCTGACCTAAAGTGATCCACCAACCTCGGCCTCGCAAAGTGCTGGGATTACAGGCATGAGCCACAGCACCCAGCCATTTTTAAAACTCATGTAGATTCAGTTAAATATTCTCATCTGGACACCATGGAGTAACAGGGGCTGAACTTCATTGTCCCATCTGAAATAGCCAAAAAATTAGACGATGGTTTTCAAGGCACTTGTCATTAACAACGAAGAACAGTGATCCCTGAGAAAAGGGATGAGGCCTGCAGTTGGCCCAGCCTACTGTCATGAGAGTTCCCAGGGCATGGGCAGAGAGGGAAAATCCAGGCAGGGGGCCCAGGAGACTCCTGGGATGAGAAAATGGAGTTGAGAGTACAGGAGTACCAGAGAGGAATCTGAACTGCAGAGCTGCACTGAGATAGAACTCCAGAAATCTGCAGAGGACCCCCCTCAAATTTTCACCAGAGTACTGATTAGCACAGTGTGGAGGAAATGCTTTCAAGCAAAAAAAGGAAACGCTCAAAAAGATTAGAGGGAATAGTACCCAATGCTCACAGAGGGTTGGTTGTAGTGCCTGATCCCATTAGCCAAATGGAAAAAACTCATAATTCACAGGACATTGCGCAGTATGCTCAGAACTGTCTTGCCTCAGCAGTCAGGAATAATTAACCCTATGCTAAATATTTTTGGGTTATTCCTAGCAAATCTTAAAAGTAAAAACTGAAAGGATCAAACTGTTTCCAAGTAGCTTAATTGAAACCCTGAACACAGTTCAAGAATATATATATAACATAAATATCTCCAGTACTCAAAAATATAAAACTTACAATGTCTTAAATCCAATTAAAAATTATCTGACATGCCAAGAAGCAGGAAAATGTGACCCATAATGAGGAGAAAAAAAATCAATCAATGGAAATCAACTCAGAAATGACACAGGTATTAGAATTAACAGACAAAGACATTAAAATTGTCAGCTGGAATATGGAAAAAGGAAAATGTAATATAGCTGTATTCCATATTTTCAAAAAGATATGTAAAGATATAGAAGATTTTTTAATCAAACAACAAGAAGTAAAAACTAGAATGTCTGGACTAAACCAACATTGGAAAGGATTGATGGCAGATCAGAGATTGCATAAGATAAGATTAGTGAACTTGAACACATAACAATATAATCCATCCACAATGAAACACAAAGATAAAAGAGATTTTTTTTGTTTTTAATTAACAGGGCATCACTAAGCTACTGGACAACTTCAAGTGACCTCATATGTGTCTAACAGGAGTCCCAGAAGGAAAGGAGAAAGGAAGGGACAGAAAAAAAAAAAACAATTTAAAGAATCAATGGTTAAAACCTTTCAAAATGTGATGAGAACTATAAACCAAGAAGCTCAATGAACCCCAAACACAAGAAACAGAAAGAAAACTACACAAGACATTTCAAATAAAATTGCTCAAAACCAGTGTGAAAAAGAAAAGCTTAAGAAAAGCAGGGGCTGGAGGGGACATATAACATACAAAATAAGAAAGATATTTTATATTTATAACATACAAAAAAAGAAAGGGTGTCAACAGGTTTTTCATCAGAAGCAAGAGAAGCAGAAAAACAGTGACTGCAATATCTTTCAAGTGCTGAAAGGGAAAAAAAACTGTCAACCTAGAATTCTATATTTAGTAAAAAAAAAAAACTTTTAGAAACAAAGACAAAATAAAGGATTTTAAGATATATGAGAGCTGAAATAATTCACCACCAGCAAACTTGCACTTTAAGAAATGTTAAAGGAAGTTCTTCAGGCAGAAGGAAAATGATGCCAAATGCAAAAATGACTCTGCACAAAGGAAGGAAAAGCAACAGAAATGGAGATTTATTTTCTTGCTGACCCTCTTAATAGAACATAAGTTAATGGCAGGTTGCACTTTGTTTCATTTTGCTACTTTTTTAAGTATGATACACATACAAAAAAGTGTACAAATCATAAATTGATAATTGATTAATTTGTACAAGCTGAACATAACCATGTAACCACCGCCCATATCAAGAAGCACCTCAATATTTCCCTTTTCCAGTTACTCGGCCCTCATGGGTAAGCACTATCTGGGCATCTAAAAACATAAATTAATTTTGTACACTTTAATTTTATAGATGGAATTGTAAATTCAAAAATTATATAAAATACTTCTTCATATATATTCATTCTGTGTGATCCATATTTGGTTTAATAAATTATTTTAAAATCTTTACATTATGCTCTATCACAATTTATTAATGTCATTTGCTTGTAAATTGATTAAAATGAAGATAAAAGTAATTAATTTCTGTATTAGTCTGTTTTTACACTGCAATAAAGACATAATTTATAAAGAAAAGAGGTTTAATTGACTCACAGTTCTGCATGGCTGGAGAGGCCTCAGGAAATTCACAGTCATGGTGGAAGGGGAAGAAGGCACGTCTTACATGGCAGCAGGCAAGAGATAGCATGTGAGTGCACAGCATGGGGAATTGCCCCCATAATCCAATTATTTCCCTCCCTCAATACATGTGGATTTCAATTCAAGATGAGATTTGGGTGGGGACATAGCCAAACCATATCAATTACATTTTCCCTTCCTTAATAATTTCACTGAAGAAAAACAGACTATTCTTTCTCAGGTGCCAATCATAACCTGAGCCAGAAGCTGCTTTACTGGATAATTCCAACTGATATGTATTTATTAGATATCCACTTCAAAAACAGGAACAGGACCAGATTTCTTTTAAAAGCAAATACCTGAGTTCAGAACCTACATCTTTTTTCAGTTTAAAATGCCAGAAAGACGCAATTTCCAACAGGAGAAAGACTCTGAGGAAGCAAGAGGCAAACTGATACTCCCCCAACCCATCCCGTTCCCCCACCTCAGACTTGAGAGAACTTAGAATTTTGGAAAACTTTTACCTTTTTTTTTTTTTGAGACACAGTTTCACTCCATCACCCAAGCTGGAGTGCAGTGGCACTATCTTCGCTTACTGAAACCTCTGCCTCCTGAGTTCAAGCAATTCTCCTGCCTTGGCCTCCTGAGTCACTGGAATTACAGGTGCATGTCACCACACCCAGCTAATTTTTGTATTTTTTGGTAGAGACAGGGTTTCACCATGTTAACCAGGGTGGTCTCAAACTCCTGGCCTCAATTGATCTGCCTGCCTTGGCCTCCCAAAGTGCTGTGCTGGGATTACAGGTGTGAGCCACCATGTCCAGCCAATTTCTACCTTTTTAACTGATCTAAACTGAAGATCAGTTAGATCTTAGTAAAGTGAACTGACAGCACTCAGTTCCCCACTCACATAGGAAATGACATGCAAAATAACATTGTATTCAATGGACTTACCTTTATCGCTTTCAAAGTCATGGGCTAATAGGAAATTGAAATGGGTAACTAAAATACCTGTTTAAGAAGACGGCCGTAACAAAGAATCAAAGGGCTAGTCTGCCAGCCTGCAGCATTATGTTTTTTGTTTGTTTTGTTTTTTTGACTCCAGGAGCATTGGGATAGCATTATGTTTTGCAACTGAAGGTGAAGGGAACCAAAAGTGAAGTTCCATTAGATAAATGATTACATCAGTTGGTTGCCTTAGGGAGAAAGAGATAAAGAATGAAACAAGTATTTGCATACATGTCTTCCCTACTTCACCTCTATTTTCCTTTTCAACAATGGATCTGGTAGTCCTTGCAATCAGGGCTACCATTAAGAATACCCAAATCTTATAAAATTCTAAAATAAGATGATAGATAGATAGATAGATAGATAGATAGATAGATAAATTTGAATCTAAATGCAAAAATTCTAAAGCAATTGATGGCATGGATTATCTGTTCCCTGCACTTTGCCAAGGTGGGGCTTACCATCTAAATGTTTTGTTGCTTCATGGACGGATAGTACCCTTTCTTCGTATTTATCCAATATGATCTCCTACTATTGGGAATGACCCCAAAAGGAAACGCTAGAATATCTCATCTTACTACCAAAAATATAGGATAGTTCAGTGACTCAACCAGTGGGACCTACTTTAGGGGAAAAGGTTTGGATTTAAATTAATGATAAATGGGAGAAAGGTGAAATTGTTGCTGAGGGGAGGGTAGTTAATAAATTAATGTTATAAAAGGGAAATTTTAATATAATTTTGGTGCCTTGAGGGAATCTCAGAGCAATACAATAATACTCTCTTTTACCTTTAACTCAGTGCCCTTGCAGTAAAGGATTCAGTTTTCTAAAATCCCTTTCTGAAGAATCAAGAACTAAGCAGGACAGTAGCCAACTCAATGAATGTAACATACACTTCTGAGAGTGGTCTTCATCCTCAAAATGGATGAACAGATAGCAGCTCGGACTGTAACTATTCAGAAAAATACAAATATGGCTATATCTTGGTTTCCATTTCTCACAGGATAGAGCTATGATTGAAAACCTGAACTGGGAAGCAAACTATGGAATACATATCCAGTTGAATCTGGAAAACACCGATGAACACTAGTCTAAATGAACACTGTGCAACCATTGATTATGATAATGAAACTTTAAAGAAT